TTTGCACTGTAGCGTTGGGGCTCTGAGCAGCGTCTTTGACCAGATAACTTTGCTGAGACACCAAGAGCTCGCCCCAGTCCTGGTGGGCTACCTGAAATTGAATAATGAAACAGGTAGGTCAATTAGATTTAACACTGGGCTTTTGAGTGCAGTTGAGTAGGCATTATTAATCTTATTCATATATTGTTCTTTATTTCTCATATATTATCTTATTCATATTTTTAAAGTTTATTCCAATAATTTTGAAAACTTTCAATGCTAATTTCTATTCTACTCTTTCAATGTTTCAATAAAAATCATGAAAAGTTACATCAATATACACTGGGTTGACAATACCTATCTGTTTATATTTGAGGTATTTGTTAATGTAATACAAATAATGTGCTATAAATTAAGACATTTAATGGGACACAATATAAAACACATAAAATAAGAATAGTGTAGTCTGAGTTTCCTTAAAAAAATCTTTAATGAGTTGCTTTAGGTCATCAAATTATTATTATTTCATACTAGTAGTTTACTTGTGTTTTTCCCCCTAATGTTTTTACTTAGCTTGCCAAGGGGATTCCACAGTTGATTCTTCATGGATATCTATCAACTTTGGTCCTTTTTCCAGACACATCACATATACTAATTTAAAGGAGATGAAAATCAATGTGGTAATTAAGTTTATCCTCAATTATTTTACCCTCTCTGGATGACAACTATTCTGACCTGTTTTTGTCCTTTCTTTTTTTTTAGATGACAGTTCTAAATTCCCTCCCAGCAACAATGAAAGCAGAATTAATATTTGATCCATCTATTGGTGTACTTCAGAATGAGACGCTTATGAGGATGGTTTTGTCCTCTATTCTGATATCTCCAGATGATGGGCAGCTTGAACAGTTCTTTACAGCTTTTACTTACATCACGATAAAGGTGAGCAATTTTACCTGATACATGTTTTTTTTTTTTTTTTTTTTTTCTTTGATAAATAGAAAGTTCAAAAGAACAGCATTTTTTTGAAATATCTTTACAGCTTTTACTTACATCACGATAAAGGTGAGCAATTTTACCTGATACATGTTTTTTTTTTTTTTTTGCTTTACTCCATTGAAATGTATTTTATGAATAAACTTACAGTTATTTAGGCAGACACTTTCATAGGGGAAGGCAATCCGTAAAAGCATCACACAAATAATACATGCTTTTTAAGAGGATATGAAATATTTTGTTCATTTTTTTTCTTTTGTCTAATTTCAGAGAAATATCACAATGATTGAAAACACAGCTGTCAGAGACACAATGCTGAACCTAACTTTGATGGCTCTTGCTCCCAGATTCCCCCTCTTCCAATCCAGTGACTATATGTTGTGGTTCCAAATAAATCTTGTTGTACTACTGGCCAGTTTTCGTCCATCATATTTGGTGGTTATCCCCACAAACCTCAGCTGTGACTCTTACGATGCAATGTGTGTGATTTGATTAAATTTTAATTATCATTGTTTCACTCATCATGCAGATTGTACTTATTTATTTATTTGTAATTTTGTATTTTTGTAATTTTAAACAGATTAAAAGGCTTAGAAAAGGCTTTGGCAATTGTACCATCTGAATTTCTAGAGGACTTGAAGACAAGCAAAGAAATTCTTATTCTTTCACTACCAACAGGTTTGTGATAGCCTATTGTAGTTGAATAATGCTGGATTTTTAAAAATGTTTATTAAACAATGTGGGTTTTTTCCCCCGCATGTGCCATAGGTTGTCCTCAGAAAAATACTCCCTTACCAATAGGCTCTAAATATGTCACTACTGCAACTACATCTTCAATGTCAACCACTCAAATACCAACTAAGGCCTCCACAGGTCCAGCAGTGCCAGGCGAAGTATTTGTTATTCTGCAGATCCGTTTGCATATACAGTATATTGATGCTTACAGTAATCCTGCTTCATTGGAGTATCAGACTCTATCCAGAAACATCACAATGGAGGTATTCAAAGAGATATTTTCACTTTTGCTGTAGTAATAGTAAAATAGTTGTTTTCCCTAATTCTGCCCAAATTATGTTGATAGTGAGATGTATTTGTATGTTATAGTTTATATCTCGGTTTCTTTTCTTTTTAGCTGAATCATTTCTACTGGAAATTGTATGAGCCACACTTTCTCAGATGCTACTTGCTGAGATTCTGGTACAAGACTTTCATATATTATATCAAATTGTTTCATTCAAAAAGTTATCCTTAGGTGTGTAGAGCAAGAAATTAAATATTCAGAATCCTACTGAGAGTGCTGTTCGCACTTTGAATAGATAAGCAGGACACAGCGGTCTATCAAAATGTTTATTCATTTGTTCCTGCATGCTACAAAAAAGTGCTAAATACAATAAAAAAAAATAGACCAGCGAACAGATGAGTTTCAGCCTATAGCTTTCTTCACTACTCACTGTTTTGTAGGCAAATAATTGCACATTGAGACCATCTTTTTAATGCAAACTAAAGAAGGGTCTATGGTAACATGGATGAAAGCACAATTGGTGTTTTTGATGAGTCTTTGAAAGACCTTCATAACTAGTGATGTGAGGGCGATAGTCATACAGGCAAGAGTGTTAATTGTTCTTTGGCACAGGGATGGTAACATATTTCTTAAAACAGGCGGGGACCATGAATAAACCATGGGACTTATTAAAGATGAATATAAACAACTTTTACATCCATCAAGCTAATCAGTGCAGGATCTCAAAACACAGACAGAAAAATACCATCTGACTGCCAGATAAGCGCTATCATGTTTTTTTTTTTTTCAGATTGTGCATAGAAAGTATTCAGCTTTTCAGCCAGTGAAGAGCCTGCTTTCACCAAAGTTTAGCATCTCTTGCTGCACATCAGAGAGCATAGCACAATGTTTTGTAATCACTTATGTTCCCCGATGAGAGACCCACAATGTATGCAGCCCACCCACAGTTTCTGACTAGTGAAAGTCTTTGTAGTGATGGTATATGATGCTTCATCAGTTAACATCTGTGAACACAACGACGACCGCTAAACTCACCCGGAATATGTCCCACTCAATGTCATCTCGAGCCCCCTGTAGCATAGCTTCTGATTGGGTGGGCCAGCGTTTCACCACCCTCCTCTCCAGAGGTTCTTGTCCGGGCCTTTGTTTTTATTCTGGTACGAGGAAAATGGCGATATAATCTGATTTAACAAAAGCTAGTAGCCAGTGAGCTTTATAGCCATTCCTAAACTGAGATTAGCAGTGATCAAGTGTATTTCATCAAGTGTGAAGCCAGCAACTGGATGTATATGTAGACACTGAGCACACCATGAAGCTTAGAGCCAAACCTGTGTCTGCTTGAGGTGTAATTTGCAATTTTGTAAGTTACTAGTTTTTGATAGGGACACTGCTCATTAGTGAACAGGTACTGTAAATATCCCAGTTAGCCCAGTAGGCTAATTTTCATCTGTTGCCCCTTGTTTGAAGGTGGCAACCTAAAATTAAAATATAGTAATTTATCACAAACAACAATTACAACTGTCTACAGATAATAAAACGTATCAACACAGAAAAAAAAAATGCTGCCACGGGAAATCACATTACAAATAATACAAGTAATATTCTTCATTACACTGCATCATGTGCACTGCTTATTTATTTATTTATTTATTGCTGAAATTGAAAATATTTGTTTAGTTAACACTTGTAGTACACTTGAACCCACTAATGTATGAAAGATGTGTTCAAGTGTACTACAAGTGTTAACTAACTAAAAATGTTTCATTACAGAGATAGTATGTTTAAAGCACATTTTAGTTCATATTCATGGTGTCTCAAAATAGCACATTTGAGTACACTTATATGTACTTACGTTTATCTTAAGAAGTACTAAATAATAATTTTTGTATATTATGTACAAAATTAGTGTGTGAAAATAGAGCACTTTAAGTACATTATGGAAGTGCACTTGTTTTTCGCCTGGATTATACTTGAAACATGCACGCATTTAATGAATTTGAAGCTATTTAACTAGTATTATCCATTCAAAGGCCAATGGAAGAATTTCTTCACAATTTTGGGATTGTTTCAACAGGCTGATTTGGAAAATGTTTTGAGCAGATTTTTTGTTGTTATGCTGCAGTTTTTTTTATATTGCTTATCTTGCCATTTTTGCACACTCCTGAGGTATCGATTACTCAGGTCCTTTCCTCTATGCCACTGCTCTGTATTTGTCAATATCACTGTTTATACTTAAGATTGAGAAGGTGATGCAAAATTAAATTTGTGGTCAAGGGTGGCCACATATTGAATTATTGTGATGTGTTACATACTTTTACTGTCCAAAATAATATCAAAATCCAAAAACGTAAGAACAAGCAACATCAAACCTGAACATTCATTATAGTAATTTAAGAACTTTTACATGTATAAAAATAACATCAAATATCTTTCTCTCTAGGCCTGGGTCTGTGGGTGTGGATATGCAACTTATTTTTAAAAGTGACACTGTGTTTCCAAATAAAGAAAGCATTGAAGACAATCTTAAGTCAGCAATTGTTGAATCAAAAGTGTTTCTTGACATTATTCCTTCCAGTGTCGTTGTTGGTGAGTTTCTCATTCTCTAAAACTGTTTAAATGTAGGTAATGTTTTTGCTGTAATCAAAAACATTTTGCAGTGGCTGATTTATACTCACTTTCATGTTGTTTCAGTGAATCAAGATGGCTCAAGTTTGACAACCAGACAAACCCAGTCATCACAAAATGTTCTGATTATGCAAACATCATCTGCTGCAGCACCAGTTCTTTCTAGTGTTGTACCCACTAGCACACCTACTGATCTTTCAAGCACAGCTCCTCCTAATTATGTTTCAATCATTGTAGTTCCTGATCCTTCAACCATAATAGTTCCTACAGATCTTTCAGACACTGTCACTACTGGTCCATCAGTCACAGTTGGTTCCTCAAACACAACAGGTGACACTCATCTGTCAAGTACTTCATCTCCTAATGTTCCCATACTCTCTGCAGTTCCTACTCAGAAATCAAGCACAACTGCTCCTCTTAGAACATTAAGCACAGCAGATCCTGCTCATTTATCACACACTGCTCCCTATGGCCATTCAAGCACAGGGGATCCTACCAATCATTCAAACACAACTGCTCTTACTGATCCCTCAATCACTGCAGTTTTAACCAATCAAACAAGCCCAACTGTTGGATCAAGTACTACAGTTCATGTTGAGCGACCAAGCACAACTGTTCATACAGGAACCTCGACCACTGCAGTACCTACTGATCTGTCAAGCACAACTGCTTCTACTGGTCCCATCACAACTACAGATATTTCAGATTCATCAAAGGCATCTGTTCCTGTTGGTTTCACAACTGCTTCAGTTCCTACTGATCAATCACACTCAGTTGTTCTTTCTGGTACCTCAACTGCTGAAGTGCTTGCACATCTTTCAAGAGCAACTCTTCCTATTTATATTTCAAACAATGCAATTCCCACTGATAGACAAAGCACAACTATTCATACCAAAACCTCAGCCACTGTAGTTCCTGCTGATCTGTCAAGCACAATATCACCTACTGGTTTTACAGACACTGCAGTCGCTACTGGTCCATCAGTCGCAACAGTTTCCCCTGGTCCTTCAAACAGTGCAGTTTCTGCCAGTCTATCAAACACAACTACTTCTAATTATTTTTCAAGAAATGTGGTCGCTACGGATCAACCAAGCACAACTGTTCATACTGGAACCTCAAACACTGCAGTTCCTATTGAATTGTCAATCACAACTGCTCCTATTGCCTCTTTCATCACTGAAGGTCCTACCAATCAATCAGCTGATCCTCCTGGTCCCTTTACCAGTGAAGTACCTACTGATTTAACAGTCACAACTGTTTCCCCAATCACAGCAGATCATACTGATCTATCAAGCACTACTTTTCCTATTAGTCCCACACCCCCCGCAGTACCTACTAATCAGTCAATCACAACTATTCCTCTAGGCCTTTCAAACAGTGCAGCTCTTCCCAGTCTATTAACCACAATAGTTCCTACTGATCTGTCAAACAGAACGGTTCCTAATGACCATTCAAGTATCTCAGGTCATACTGAACATTTAAGCATGACTATTCCTATTGGTCCCTCAACTACTACAGTTCCCACTAATCTTTCAAACACAACTGTTCAGCCAGGCTATTCCACCTCTACAGTGACAAGCTATCCCTCGAGCACAATTATTCTGCTTGATAAGATCAACACCACTGTCTCTACTAATCTGTCAAGCAAAGTCATTTCTAATCCTTATACAAATACTACAATTTCAACAAATACATCAATCACAACTGCTCCAGATGACCATTCAAACAACACAGTTCATACAGTTTTATCAAACACAACTATTTCTGCTGGAATGTCAAGCAGTGTACATCATAAAGATGTATCAAACACAACTGTTCTTTCTAGTCCATCTGGCACTACATTGTCTGTATCCAGCGCAGCTGGTAATCATATCACTACATCTGTAATAGTTTCAAACTCAACACACTCTAAAGTTGTCACCACCTCAACCACATCTTCACTGCAAACCACTCATCTATCAACTAAAGCCTCAACAGGTTCAGCAGTACCAGGCGAGGGATTTGTTATTCTGCAGATCCGTTTACAGCGACAATACATTGATGCTTACAATAATCCTGCTTCTATGGAGTACCAGATTCTGTCCAGAAACATCACTATTGAGGTTATCTAATAAATATTTTCATTTTATACAGTAGTTTTTTTTTCAAAATTCTGTCCACACTACATTTGTGAGTTTAGTGAAAGTTTGTTTCTTTTTGTATTTCTGTAGCTCAATCGAATCTACCGGGAAATTTATGGGACCCGCTTCCTCAGATGCTACGTGATAAGATTATGGTACCAAACTCTCTTCTTTCTTTCTTTCTTTCTTTCTTTCTTTCATCATCCCAGTAGTCTTCCACAAGCACAAACATGTAGGATATAGACAGGAAAATGTAGGGTGAAAGGGTCATCACAAAGATGCTGCAGAGTGGGGATATCTGCTGTATCTGCAAGTAGTTCACAGATGAGCATGCATATTTAAATAGCAAGATGCAGTCAAAAGAGTATCATGTGAACAAATGCTGGAAATTACTGCAGCAGGAGGCAAAAATGCAGGAGAAAATTATGACAAACTTACTTCTTTGGAGCTCAGAAGGATTATATGGGTTGGGATTTACCTAAACCTAAGTTATATAGTTTTCATATGGTGATTATGTATATATATATATATATATATATATATATATATATATATGTTAGTGTACTGTATATGTGGATAAAGCTGGATATATTTAGTAGTTGGAAGTTGAAATTAATTATGCAGTGAAATGGAAATATGGAAAGCATGAGTTGTGTAAGGTTGTTTAATAATAACAGTTTGTCTAATAACTGGTTGGTGATGTGTATCAGTTCCATGGTCAAATGATGCATATAAATGACAGGTTTTAATCTTTTAGTTATATCGCCCATTCCTAAGCAGATGAAATGAAAGTCCTGCCATAATACTTATTCAACATAAGACACATTACAAAATATATTTAGTCCCCTAGTGTGTAAGTCAGAGGCAAACTAAAAAAAAGTCACCTTTATTTCTATATTGCTTTATACAATGTGTGCTAAAGACACTTAACAGTGTTAAACAGGAAAACAGTGTTTCAATAATGCAAACAAAATTAAATTCTGCTGTAAAGCAGCTCTAAAAGGAGGACAATAGTAATGTTGGATAATGGAGAAACCAGGTTATATCAAGGGGCCAGTTCTCCTCTGGATATACAATATTGGCCAGAATTTGTAGGCATAGTGAATGTGATGGATTATAGTGCACTAGAGGTTTTCAAAGTGTAGGGTTAATGTGTGGGCTGTATATATAAATATACTGTATATAGTACTGTGCAAAAGTTTTATGCCACTAGTATTTTTACCAGTTAAATAAATGGTTTTAAGTCAGATATTTCTATCTTTTGCTGTAGTGTGTCAGTAGGAAATATCAGTTAACATTTCCAAACATTCATTTTGCCATTAATTGTAATGATCCAGTGAGTTTTTGTTTGCACAAGGAGTCTGACAACAGCCAGTGCTCCACACAGAGATCTGATCTCATCATCATCCAGTCTGGCTGGAATGACATGAAGAAACAGAACAAACTGAGACAGACTAAATCCAGAAGAACTGTGGCAACTTCTCCAAGATGCTTCAAGAGACCTTCCTGCAAAGCTACCTGAAAAACTGTGTGCAAGTTGCACCTAGGGCAAAAGCTGCTGTAAATGCAAAGGATGGTCACACTAAATGTTGGTTTAATTTAGTTAATAGGAGTTAATTGATAAAGAAAATCTATGACAGCATTCTCATTTTACAACATTTTTACACAAGTGCCTAAAACTTTTAACAGTACTGTAGCTTTGCAGGTAGGTTTCTTGAAGCATCCTGGAGACCTGGATTTAGTCAATCTCAGTTTGTTCTGTTTCTTCATGTCATTCCAGACAGACTGGATTATGATCAGATCAGATCTCTGTGTGGAGCACTGACTGTTGTCAGACTCCTTGTGCAAACAAAAACCTCACTGGATCATTAAAATTAATGGCAAAATGAATGTTTGGAAAAGTAAACTGATATTTCCTACTGACCCACTACAGCAAAAGATAGAAATAACTGAAAATACTAGTTGCCTAAAACTTTTGCACAGTACTGTATATATATATATATATATATATATATATATTAGGGCTGTCAGTCGATTAAAGTTTTTCATCTAATTAATTACCTGATGTGTCGATTAATTAATCTAATTAATCGCAAATTAAAATTTGACTGTGAAAATACCCACAAAAGATCATTTAAAGCTATTATTGTGTTAAATGAGAAAGTATCAAGTAGACTTTACAAAAAGTTGCTTTAGAAACAAACTTTATTTGATTCAACATGAAATTTATTAATAAATGTTTAAGCTACAATGGCCTAACAAACTATGGAACATAAAAAAAAGCATACTTTGAGAAACATCTCTGTATTTCTTTGTCCATGCAATGAAACTGGTAACCAAAAGCTTTGTTATCAACAGTCTTCAAAATACCTTCTTTTATGTAGTGCAAAAGTCGTTCAGGTTTGAAAGGACACGAGGGTGTGTAAATGACCATTTTTAATTTTGGGTGAATTATCCCTTTACAGTTTTCCCCAATTGTTTAGACACAATTCTGGGAACAGCTCACTATTTTCTCAAATCTTCACACACAATTTTAAAAGCTCACACCCAACGGTACAAACAGCTAACTTCTGAATCCCAATTCAAACTTTGCCCTCAGTCAATACAAACAAACTGTCAAAAACACAGACTACATGACTGTTTTTTACACATTGGAGGGATAATAAATTCAAAACACTGCTACCAAATGCTTTAGAAGTTTTCAGATCAATAATTTGGAACTTAGTGAAATCCCAGCACTGACTAATAACTCTTTCAGAAACAACCCTGACAAAAAAGAAAGAAAAAAAAAGAAAACCTGTACTGTTTTATGCGTTTGTGCTTACATAGTTGGATAGTCAACTTTAGATTTAAATCCGTGGTTGAAGGAAGTAGTTCTGCACAAAAAAGGGCTTTTAAAGACACTCTGTTGTTGTTTTTTATGTATTTACACACTCGTGCCGTCAAACTGTTGTATAAACACAATATCACACTCATAGACGTGAGATCCAGCACTGACTAATAACTCTTTCAGAAACAACCCTGACAAAAAAGAAAGAAAAAAAAAGAAAACCTGTACTGTTTTATGCGTTTGTGCTTACATAGTTGGATAAAGCAATACTGTACATGCTGTTTTGGACAAAAAGCTGACCTTTGAAATGTCACACTGACAAAACATGTAAGGACGAGTCCATGCAGAGTATAATACTTACATTTTCAAAACCTTTATTTCCAAAGGCCAGCAAATGTACAGGTTACTCAGCAACAGCATCAGCATCAGCATCAACTTTCTCATCATCATCTCATCTCAGGTCATCTTCCTCTTCCTCACCATGCTGTTGTCTTGCAACATCAGCATTGTTAGGATCCATTGTTCCAAAGCACATAATTTGAAACAACAACGGAGTGTCTTTAAAAGCCCTTTTTTGTGCAGAACTACTTCCTTCAACCACGGATTCAAATCTAAAGTTGACAGTTTTAACAGCTGAGTCCAAGCCTCCGTTACTAATTCCAAAATGTCACTTTAGAACTAGTAACGAAGGAACGTTGAGTTACTTTATTAAAAGTTTATTGTATTACTGTAGAAAAAAGCTGTGTATTATGTGTATGAGAGAGAGATTGACTGAGCGATTGTGATTACCTGCATCTGATCCAGCATTCATTCTTCAGATCAATTTTATATTCTCAATGAAACATTAGTTTGAATGTCCGATAGGCTCGTACTATCCTTTCATCTGTTAAGGGTGATTTCTGATGACAGTGCTTCTCAGTGCATTTGTTGGCTGCATACAAGCTGGTGTTGAAAGAAAAAATAACTTCCTTGTTCAAAACTACGCTTTAGTATTTTTCAATTTAAAAGTCTTTACCGCTGACTCGTAAAAACAGTCTCTTGTCACCATCTAATGGCGGAACAATGAAATTAACGCATGTGTGTGTTTGGGAATGACATAAGGGTATCGGTTTTTGTGCTAAAGAAACCAGATTTTGTGTTTAAGCAATTGAGAAAAACTGCAATGTTTTTTTTTCTTATTTTAAAAATGAAATTATACTCTAAATAAGAAACTAAAATTGCCATCAGGTGGCATTAAATGTCTTTGAGTCATTCATTCATTCGATTTGTTGAAACGGCTGATTAATTCAGGAATTAAGTAAACGTCTCTCGCTATCAATGGGCCTTTGAATCATTGATCATATATATCAATATATATCGTGCTTCTCAGTGCATTTGTTGGCTGCATACAAGCTGGTGTTGAAAGAAAAAATAACTTCCTTGTTCAAAACTACGCTTTAGTATTTTTCAATTTAAAAGTCTTTACCGCTGACTCGTAAAAACAGTCTCTTGTCACCATCTAATGGCGGAACAATGAAATTAAATCACCATCATGAACACACACACACACTGTTTCCTAATACTAAATACTACTATTATTTATATAAAATATTATTTATTGAATAATAATATGTAATAAACAACAACAGCCATCATAAAAGTTGCTAGGCAATTCAGTCAAAAGTACAAAGGCAGTGCTCTGATATACAGCATTGAATTTACATAAACATGATGAGATTTTGCCAAAACTATTTGCTCTGAAACAGATAATAGAATAGTGAGACCAAAGACTGCCCATTAGATTTACCCAAAACGAAATATATCTCATGTTTAACCACTATATAGACATCAGAGGCAGTAGTAAATTCCAGAAGATCTGGCTGAGTTGAGGCACTCTCAGCGGGTGTAATGAGCGCTGAACGGCCACTGACATGCTGGATCTCACATCTCCGAAACCATTGAAGCAAATTTTCAAATAGACATTATCTTTGTTAAGAAATCGCATATTTGTATGTCTCTCTCTCTCTCTCTCTCTCTCTCTCTATATATATATATATATATATATATATATACAGTCAAACCAAAAATTATTCAGACACCAGATATAATTTTTGATATTTTTACTAGTGGGTGCAGGACACTATAATTAATTTATGTGAGGATAGCAAAATAAAGTAAACTGTGACATGTGACATATTATACCCAAAACTTCTTCATACAGTGTACTACCAGTAAAATTTATACAAATTTTGGACCAAAAATTTGATTTGACATTTTGACCTGGCCATGTTTTGTTACATACCTTTCTATCAAAGTTATCTAACATTATCAAGATCAAATTTGTTCTGACACAGTTTAACTCTTGAGATCTTGTCATATTTTATTACCATTTTCTAAACTATAGTGAATAAACTGTGATAATGTGAGAAAGTGTCAGAATAAATTTTGGTTTGACTGTATATACTATATGTATGTGTGTGTGTGTGTGTGTGTGTGTGTGACCAGGAGAATGGCTGCTGTAATCAAAAACAAGGAAGAACCAAGAAAATATTAATAACTGATTACATTGTAGTCAGTGTATGGTTTATTTTCTGAAAGCTTGTTGTTTTTTATGTTTTTGCATAGTACAATAAAACCGATATGATATATTGGAGTTTGACTTTCTTGCCAAATAATTTTGCCATTTTAATACCTTAATCTAAAACCAAACGAGTAATCAAAATGAAGCCTACACCTTTATTGTAGTAGTTTAAGTATTGGTGATGTCTAACATTAAAATATTTTTTTTGTCCAGGCCTGGGTCAGTGGGTGTGGATACAGAACTTATTTTTAAAAACCAGACTGTGCTTCCAAATGCAACAAGCATTGAAGAATCTCTAAAGACAGCAATTGCTGAATCAAAAGTGTTCCTTGGTGTGATTCCTTCGAGTATTACTGTTGGTGAGTTTCCTCATTTCCTCAAACTGTTTTTTACTGTAGCTAATGATTTGCTGGAATTGTTCGTTCATTAGCTGGTTTGTACTTGTTTTCCTATACTTTCAGTGGAACAGCTAGATTCAACTTCAACCACCAGCCAAACTCAGACATCACAAAGTGTTCCTATAATGCAAACATCATCAGCTGTTGCACCGGTTCTGTCTAGTATGCTGTTCATGCTACTGCTTCTGCTATGGAATGAAACACTGTAATTCTGCAAAGCTTTACTCCATGCATCACATTCAAACCTACAATTAATATTGTGACAACTCTATTATCTGCTTTTGTGATACATTACTCTTGGTTTTATGTAATGAAAATTGTGATTAACCTGATACATTCAATAATTATTCTTCAGGCATTTCTTGGGTATTTCAGCACCTATAACACCATAACTTGCATTTTGCATTTTCTTTTCTTGGATGTTAAAGAAATTAAAATTCAGAGCATTGTAAATAAAAAGCAAAATGCAATACAATGATTTTGATTTAAAAATATGATATATAATTAATTTTGTTGAATTTAATTGTAAAAATCTAGTAATCTGTACTATTTGTGCACTATGCCTTTGTTATTCATAAAAGTGTAGTTAATATAACATTTATTTGTATGAGTACCAATTTGTCAAGCTAGTTTCTGTTTACTAGAATGCTTTGCTTCAATAAATGCTGAAATTATTTTGTCTTATTTATTATTATTATTATTATTATTATCATCATCATTATCATTATTATTATTGCGCAAGAGTAATATATGAGAAGATCTGTTAGTGTTTAATTTTCTGTTATGTTTGGGCACCTATTATGCCCCTTTTTACAAGATGTAATATTGGTCTTGGGTGTTCCCAGAAAGTGTCTGTGAAGTTTCAGCTCAAAATACCCCACAGGTAATTTATTATAACATCTGGAAAATGTCATTTTTGGGGTGTGTCTAAAAAAGAGCTGTTTTGGTGTGTATCACTTTAAATACAAATGAGCTGCATATTCCCTCCTCGTCTCCAGAAGAGGGTGTAGCAAATACGTCTCTCTGCTTTTGCATATCTACAGCAGTAAACAGCCGGCAGAAGCAATATGATTGAGAGTCGTCTCCAGAAGAGGGTGTAGCAAATACGTCTCTCTGCTTTTGTATATCTACAGCAGTAAACAGCCGGCAGAAGCAATATGATTGAGAGCGAGAGAGCCAGTGTTCAGCCAAATGCACTAAAAGTGGGACGAAGCAGCGCGATGTTACAGATCTCGTGCCGCGCTGACCTGTCATCGGCACAGCTCAATGGACCGAGCTGTGTGACTGGGCTACCGAACGGACAATGCGTCGCTGATTAATTAAAATACTTCAATAACACACACACACAAATATGGTTAAGATGCTAAGCACTATACCGATCTGACAATCACAAAGCGGCCTGGAGTGAAATTATTTGCGCAAACATAAACATATTTAGGTAGATTATGAGACGCATTACCTTCAAAAATAAAAGCAATCCACTGCATCCTTAGCAGCTAAGATGTTGGGAGAAAACTCTTATGTATAGGGTTAGGGTTAGGGTTAGGGTTAGGTAT